TTCCTTAGTGTGTCCTTTTTATTTGTGCAGCAAGGGAGAAACCTGAGTAAATCCTTGGTTCTCAAAGTCAGAAAACCCCAGAATGGTTGGTGTTGGAAGGGACCTTGAACATCATCCAGTACCATCCCCTGCCATGGGCAGGGCCACCCTCCACCATCCCAGGGTGCTCCAAGCCCTGTCCAACCTGGCCTTGGACACTCCAGGGATGGGGAAGCCACAGGAAAAGCCTGCCCATGTCCCTGAGCTCTGTTGGATCCCAGCTGGGCACTGGGATGCTGTTCACCCTTTATTTTGGATGAACAGATGCACCATGGCCAGTGGGGAACCAGCTCTGGCTGCTCTGCCCCCTCCTGCTGTTCCCAGCTGCATTGGCCAGCTCACAGTTTTGGGACAGAAATTCCAGATTAATCCAATATTATGGGACCTTTAGGACAGGAAGGGAAAATCATAACCAAAGGAGAGGAAGGCAGGGATGGATTTATGGGCAGGGATGGGTTTATGGGCAAGAGAACAGTGGGATTGCTGATCTTGCATTGCATATCCTGGGTGTCAGAGCGTGCTGCAGACTCACTGTGCTGCTCAGGGCAGCTCAGCAGCTCCTCAAGGCACACACAGAGGGTGGAAACCTGTCCTTGGAGACTGAGAAATCCACAGAATCCATCTCTCAAGTAATGTGCAGCAAACAGGATTTACAGCCAGGGTTTGATGTCAGAGCTCAGCCCTGGTGGATGCTGCTCCATGTCTGAAGGCTGGGACAGAGGTCTGCAGAGCAGAGCAGAGCTCTGTGGCTAAAGGTCAGGCTGAATTATGCTCTATCTATGCCTGTTAATTATAGAGGACTGTAATCTGCCACTGCAGTCACAATTCAGCAAGATCTTGATTGTGCAGAGAGTTAATGAAGTGAGGGAGGACTGGAGACACAAAGTCTCAGCAGCTGGCTGGGGGACACACAGATTTCAAAGGGAAAAGCTTTTTTGTTTTGTTTTGTTTACTCTGAGAAGGAAAAACTTTAGCCTGGAGGCCCCAAAACTGTAGATCCCTGTAGCTAAGCCCAGACAAGTCCTCATGCATTTTGGCACATAGGGGAATAATAAAAAAAAAAAAAAAATCTGGATACTACTCAATGCTGTGATTACAGTGAGGTTTCCTGGATATCCAAGAGGGGATCACAGCTGATCTGGGAAGATGTGAGAGCAGCGTTACAGAGGTGCTTTCTGCCCAGCTGAACCTCTTATCTTGAAATTGTTCAGCTCTCTGAAGTGGCTTAACCTCTCTTCATTTAACTCTGGCTGCAACGCGAGGGATGCAAATCCTGCAGCAGACAGCTTTCCTTTTCCACCTTTTTTCCTTTTCCCTCCTTTTCCTTTCCTCATACTTCATACCCCATAGCATACCATAACCCATCAGACAATTAACATTAATTATTTACATTGCCTTTGAGCTAATGTTACCAAAGCCATCACATTATCATAGTCTGAAGGATTTATTTACACTTAATCTATTATCCCTCCACTCCTCATTTTTTTCCCTGTTGTCTCCATCAGTCACTAATTCCTTCTCAAAACTGCTTTAACCAAGGGAAAACAAATGGAAATTCATGTTTCCGTCAGTGCATCCTCCTCCTTGCTGGTGTCTGTGTGTTCAGCTTGTTTGCAGGTAAATTATTCCTCACTTTTCTCCTCCAGACTGACCTTTCCAGTGCCAAGTGAACTAAAGCTCCCCATGAATTGCTAATTTGATGAGCAGAGGCCCAGCCAGCCGCCTGTGTTGTCACACGGTCGAATATTCGTCGTTTCAAATCACGAGTGCCCTTTACATCAAATTATTTCCACACCTAAATGCGAGCTGAGAGTCGAGCTGTGACCTGCGACAGTGACACGGTGACAAGTCGGGGCAGGGGGAGGCAGGAGGGTCCTGGCCTCGGGAATGACAACAGGTAGCGATTAATGCAGGGCACATTCCTGCAAGCATCTCCAGCTCTCACGTTCTCCGCCTAAAAAATGCCTGTTGAGCGTTTCCAAAGCCCTCCCGGGGAGCGAGGCACCCCTGGCAGGATCTGGGAGATCCTTGTCACTTCATTCCTTGGACATTCCCCCGGCCACAGGTGACCCGGAGCTATTCCTGCACACACCTCCAAGCACAGAGGTGCTCCAGCTGAAGGATTTGCTCTCCCCAGCTTTTGGGTAGTGCCTGGCTCACTTTTCCTGCAGAGGCTCAAAGCCAAGGGCAAACCAAGCACACAGCATGTGCCAGCCTCTGGCTGTAGGACAGAGAAAAAGGGTGCTGTGTTAGGTGCCCTTTGCCCATGGAAGCAGAAATAAGGAGTAAAAAGAGGATTTAGCTGTTCTTATGCTGTGGCTACTGCAGGAGAGCCATGAACTGGCACACAGTGGAGTGAATGGTTTGGAAGGAAAAGCTTCTTGGAGCTGAAGAAAAATGAAATATGTACAGTAAGGAAAATAAGGGGGATAAAAATGAAGGGAGGAAGCATAAAAAAGGAACAGCAAAAGATAAAAAGGTAAAAATAACCCCAAAAGCAGTGAGACACCTCCCCATCCCCATCCCTCCATTTCTCTTCCCCTGAGAGTGGTGAAGAACAAAGCTTGGATAGATGGATGGAGAGATGGATGGGTGGATGGATGGATGGATGGATGATGGATGGATGGATGGATGGATGGATGGATGGATGGATGGACGGAGATCCATGGCCCATGGGAATAACCTGGACAATTGGGACTGTGGCCCCCTTTGAAGCAGCCACACAACCTGGGTGCAATGTTCATTTCCTGCAGGGAAACTCGGCCTTGCTCTTCTGAGGTGGATAAAGCAAGGCTTGTAAAACTGATTGTGGGAGGTGTTTTGACATGAGGAATTAAAAGGCCAGGCCTGGCCTCTCCCTGCACATCCCAGTGAAGCAGGGGCACTTCCCATTACCTGCCCTGTGCCTGGAGGGGCTTTTTTTTCCAAAAGAATTTTCAAATTGAGGTGAAATTGTGTTATTCTCCAGTAGTAGCTGTAACTCAGTAGCGTTCCTATGCGGATGTTGTTAATAAAATATTTGGGGCTCTTTTGTGATAAATTATTGATTTATCAACTTCAAGCCCATTAAATCAGAATGGTAAAAGGCAACAATTCCTTTTGGGTGGAGGAGGAGAAACTCTGATAATATCTACTTCATTCATGCTAATGAATGACCAAGATATAATTGGCTCCACATTCTCTGTTAGCAAATATTGTTACTCAGATAAAAGTACTACCACTGTAAAGAAAAGCCTTGTGGGATTACCAAAACCCTATTTAGAAGTCTTTAGTTCCCTTTAACTGATTTTTTTTTTCCATTTTAATGGGAAAGTACCTTCAAGGAGTAAAGATGTCTACATGGCTTTAATGGTGGCCTTCCACACAGGAGTCTTCTGTTTGAATTTTAATGTTTTTAGCCAATGTTCTGTGTGGAGCACATATGTCCTTAATGAGAGAGTTGATGCAGTTCATTAGTTTATATTTGAGGGATGAAACTGAGTGTCGCTGTTAAACTGTAATTGATAATGGCTGAGTAGGGAAAATTTAGCATTTGGCTATTTAAAGTTACACACAGGCTAATCCCTGACTGCTCCCAAGGAGAGGGAATGCCCACGATGAGGAAAATGTGAGGTGAGGCTTAAGTGTAGACAAAATTCAAATTTCAGAGCAACTTGAGGTGAGTCCATGAGTCTGGTTTGGGCAGAGGAGTAAGAGGTGAAAGGTGCTTTTTAAGTATGAAGCACAGCAGCTGATGAGAGCCCTCTGTGCACATTCTTCATGATCCCAGCCCTTTTCCAGGTTTATCTGTGCTGGGCTGACCTGGCATTACCAGAGTTAGCCCTGCATGGCTCAATGATGCTGCCAAGGCACCGTGCCAGGCTCCAGTTTGGGAGCCACAGAAGTTGTACTCCTGGAATTTCTGGCTCATTTATCCCCAGAGCTGGTGAAAAGCATAGTCTGGATCACTGGGAATAATCAGCATCCTCTGCTCCAGAACAGCCCCAAATCTGTGCTTTCCAAACACCATTTTTCAGTGGGATTGCATGGCTCTTGTCCCTGCTGGCCTACAGACACATCTCAGGACACTTCTGCCAACTGTTTCATGCACGAGGAACATGGAGCCAAGCTGCAGAATTCAGTATCAACATCCAAACTGTGAGATTTGGGAAGAATCTTAGTAAATTAAAACTAAAAGCTGCACAATAAAAGGCTGTGAGGATCTTCAGGATTGGAATTTTTTTTTCTGCTGCTCCACAGCAACATGTGGGCATTACATGTGTTTTGGTGGTACATTAAGGGGTAGATAATCTGTATTTGGTTATTCTCCCAGACAGTCAAGTAATAATAATTTGAATGAGGGAGATTTTAAAAAATGCATCTGGCAACTCTGTGGGTGTGTTTTGTTGTTTGTTTTCTTTTTTTTTTTTTCCCCTTCTTTTAAAACCCCCACAATATAAAATAAGAACCAACACCAGAAACAACTCTGAAATAATTATGAAACCAATAAATAACCCCTGAGCTCTAACGTACACAGATGACTTTCCAGAGGCGGCAGGCAGGCTTGTGTGTGGAGTAAAAAAAAAAAGGGAAAACTCCTGGAGCAGGGATGGGAGGGGGGGACTCTGGAGCCCCCCGGGGCTGGGACCCTGCGCAGGGGATCAGGATTAAATTTGGTCCTTGCCAAAACAACAACAAAAAAATACGAAATAGCCGACACAAACCTATTTGAATAAGGGAGAAAAAAAAAATAAAGAGGAAAGGAAAAAAAAAACCCAACTCCTCTATTTTTTTTTCCCCCTAAGCAGCCGAGCCCAGCTCATCAGCAGCTGAGGCAGGAGCAGGAGGGGTTTTGGAGTTAACTGCATGCAGGAAATCTCTCACATCCTGAGTCCCAGCTCGCTCCTCTCGGTAACTGTATATTATGGGGCTGCTCTCCAGCCCCAGCTGATGAAAGTTTGTCTCCCTCAGTCTGGGCTGCGATGTCAAAGCGCCTCCAGGCAGCGCAGCCGCGCTCCCCCCGTGCGCTGCCCCCGGCCCGGCTCCCCGCGCTGCTGCTGCTGCTGCTCGGCCCGGGCTGGCTCCTCTCGGCATCGCCCCAAGCCCGCGGTAAGTCACACACAGCCCCCCGGGGCTTCTCCCGAAAGGATCCCGCTCCATTTTAGCCGGACGAGGAGCAGGGAGATGGATTCAGAGCGCCGCTTCCCCCCGCCCCGCTGCGGGGATGGAGCGGGAGGTCCCGGCCGGGCACACGCGGAGCTCCCGCTCCTGGCCGGAGATTTCCCCGCAAAACTCCGCTGTGCGGCACCCCCAGACCCGCGGGGTGCCATCCCATGGCACCCCCAAACCTGCTGCTCCCTTCTCGGCACCTCCAGACCCCGGCACCCCTAAACCTGCTGCTCCCTTTTCTGCACCCCCAATCCCGCCGGGTGCCATTCCCCGGCACCCCCAAACCCGCTGCTCACTTCTCTGCACCTCCATCCCCCAGCACCCCCAGACCTACTGATCTCTTCTCTGCACCCCCAAACCTGCTGCTCCCTTCTCTGCACCCCCATCCCCCGGCACCCCCAAACCCGCTGCTCACTTCTCTGCACCTCCATCCCCCAGCACCCCCAAACCTACTGATCTCTTTTCTGCACCCCCAACCTTGCTGCTCCCTCCTCTGCACCCCATCCCCCGGCACCCCCAAACCTGCTGATCTCTTTTCTGCACCCCCAAACCTGCTGCTCCTTCCTCTGCACCCCATCCCCCGGCACCCCCAAACCTGCTGTTCCTTTCTCTGCACCCCCAAACCTTCTGCTCCCTCCTCTGCACCCCCAAACCCGCTGTTCCCTCCTCTGCACCCCCAGCCGGTCCCATCCCGGGGACCCCCCTGTTGTGCTCATTCGGGGGTGCCCTGCAGGGTCCCGGGGAGAGAAGGGGGTGTTGGAAATTCTCCTCCCACGCATCCCCCTCCAAACAGCCCCCGGGGCTGAATTCAAAGGTCTGGGAGTCTTGTCAGAGTTTGGGCTCTGTTTCCAGCTGGGGAAAATTGCGCGGAAAAGCCAAATAGTGATGGTAAAAGCGTCCTGGCTGGGTAAAAGTTTTCTCGCCGCCGCTGTGTTCATTCAAAGTGAGCTCCAGGCGGATTCAGCTGTGCTGTCCGTGTTGTATGGATGGGGAACAGCCTAGGAGGGGATTGTCTCTCCCTGCAGCAAGTTTGGGGTTTATTCTGGAGTCCTCAGAGCGCCCAAGTCCTCTCGTCTCTGCTAATCAGCAGCTGACTGCATATTTTATGTGGAGAGGAAAAGAGATTATTTTCTATGAATACAAGAGGAAAAGAGATTCTCCTCTATGAATACATTTAACAGCACCGAGGGGTGCCTGTGTCCTTGTTACTACAAACTCCTGTGTTTGGTGTTTTTTTGTCTTTTTTTCCTCCCCCATTGTAACTTGAAGCTTTGTAAATATTTGCTTATCTTCAAATGTATTGACAGAGACTTTCACTGGGACTTTGGCTCTGAACTTCCTAAGATAAAAGATGGGGAGATACTTTAGCACATAGAAATCCCAGAGGGGGAAAGGACAAGGTGTTGCCTTTGATCAAGCACCTGGAATTTATCTTAATGGATTAACAGGAGCTGAAGCTTTGCCTTTGGGAGGGGTCTTGATTTCTCTTTGCCAGCACTTGTATTTGCACAAAATCAGCGGGTTTGGGGTAAAGGCTGCAGAAATTCCCTGGCAGATGAAGGGAAATAGGTGCCCTGTGTCTGTTCCCTTTTTGTGGGGAAAGGGAGGGTTGGTTTGGGTGGGAGGATGGCTCCCTTCTCTGAGTGTGGAACCCATTGGCTGGCCAGCCCCTCCATGGTTTGGAAGTTCACTTGCAGTTGAGAAAATCTGAGGTAAAATGCTTCAAAGTGCTCGTCCCTACAATACCAAATGGGCAAACTGTGGGTGCCTTGGCCCTGGCACACAGAGGAGTGAGCAGAATGGGAAGAGGGGGTGGAAATCCGGTTCCTTGTGGTTCAGAATTCCCTCAGAGCCAAGCTGAAGCTCTAAGGTTACGCTCACACTGATGATTTAAGCTCTGTGTAAAGTTTGTGCCATCTGCTCATCTCTATGGTGTCTTTAGGTGTCTTTATGGGTTTTAGATGTCTGCATTTGGGCAGCTGTAGTGGTTGGATTTGCCTCCTTGTATCTTCCTGCTCCTCTTCTTTCCGTCCCATGTCTGTAATTTGCTCTTTTCCACCCAGAATATTCAGTGAGCACCTTGCCTTAATTCCACTTTTTCCTGTGGAAGCAGAGCACAGCTTCAGCCCTGCCAGAGCTTGTGCTGCTTTCTTGGGCACAGAGGTGCTGAAAGTTCCGGGCACTCCTTTCCACACCCCCAGTGACACCAAGTGCTCTTGGCTGGGCTGGCACTGGGCATTCTGGAGCCCTGCAGGACATCCCAGTGCTGCCAGCACGTCTTGATTTTTACATAAACTCGTGCTTAGTGATTAAGACAAGTTGGAGTTATGATACGCCTTGAGAACTGGGTTTGAAATGTGGCAATAATGTGTGTCTGCCTGAGTGGCAGGTCTGTTATTAAACAGAAATTATCAGGCTGTGGGCTAGACAACTTCAAAGTAGCCTTGCTGCTGGCTTTTAGTATGTTTTCTTTCCATTTTTTTGTGGTTTTACAATTGCCCTCTTAGTTTTCAGTCTTGTGCTAGGTTTCTGCTTAAAGGAACTCATGGACAAAAAGGAAAACTCAACCAGGCCAAATGAACTTTGTTGTCCTTGTGGAGTGGGATATAAAGTAGGATAAGATCTGATCTTCCAGTCTCAGTCCAATACCTTAAAATCTACACCTGTACAAGGTTTTTGTGCTCAAGGCCATCCTGTTTCTGCAGGGCAGACAAAGTGATGCTGCGGATAGGTCAAGTCCAAATTGGAGATTTGTGTGTGTCTGTCCACAAACTTTTAAATTTCTTTTAAATATTGTGTGTTAGCTGGGAAAACAGGAGAAAAAAATGACTCTTGGAATGACAGAATGGTTTGGGTTGGAAGGGACCTTAAAAACCATCTTATTCCACCCCCTCCCCTGGGCAGGACACTTTCCACCATCCCAGGTGGCTCCAAGTCCTGTCCAACCTGGCCTTGGACACTGCCAGGGATAGAAGACCCACAGTTTCTCTGGGCATGAAAAATGCAAATCCTGAAACTGCAACCCAAAATCCTTTACCTTCAGTTAAAATCACTTTTGTCTAGATTTTAATTTGCTAGTGATTGCACCTTCCTTGGGTCTAATGGAAATAAATTGCAGGAGAAGAAATGTTGCTTTGTCTTGTGCTCTAAACCTGATTTCTCCATCACCCTCTGTGCTTCAGGGCTCATTTATAAACCCTGTCTTCCCTCAAACTGCTGCAGCATTTGTGGCAGATATTTCTGGTGTGTGTAATCACCTCCTTGTCTGATGATTATGCCCTTCAGACAGTCTGGCATGAGCTGTCCCTGTCCATGGGGCTCCAGAGATCCATGCCAAAATCCCCCAGCAGAGGAATTTTACTGCCTCTCTTCAGCAGTGTTTGCATCCTTCACCTCCAGCTCGCTGGGGAGCTGACAGGTTCTTCACTGCTCTTTCCTTGGGTGCCTCATCTCTTGCTCTGCTTGGGATTTTTGGGAAGGTCCTGATCCAGATCCAAAGAGCATCCTTGAACTCATGGTTGTCAGGCTGTGTTGTGGGTGGCTTTGCATCCTGCTGGGAGCCCCAGTGGGATTTCTCTGATGGCACATGGGTGGCTGCAGCAGACCAGGGCTGTGTTTATCTGTTTATCCCACTGAAGAGATCTATTTATCTGTTATACCCACCAAGGCCTGCCCTCACCACCCATGATCATGAAATTCTGTTCTAAAAAGGCTCAACTCATGTCAAGGTTTATTTGCTCCTCCAGCAGCCCTCTCCATACCTCACATCTCCTGACACATTTATTATTCCTGCTGCTTCCAGCAGATCTGACACTGCCAGGGCAAACTGGCCAAGGAGTCCAGCTGGGCTCTGGATTTTTTGTGTCCCTGAGCCTTCTTTTGGGCTGTGGCAGAGAGGAGGGTGAGCCCTGAGCTGCCTTGCTGGGCTCTTGGGGTGGGTTTCTCTTCACTTGTGCTGTGAGAGCTGCCATAATCCAGGAATGGACATTTTCATGGTGTTTGGAAATCTGGAATACTGTCAGGTTGTCCAGCCAGGCCCTGCCATGCCAGCAGCCTGTCTCCAGCTCTGCCTCACACCATCCCATCCTGCTTAGGATGCCAGGCTGCCCATATTGCAGGGATTTTTTCATTTAATCCCTTTTTCTGGTGACTTTCCTTCCTCTACAGCCTCTTATGTTTTACTGCACATCACCCTGGATCTCGCTCTCCCCACTGCCTGCACTTGGTACTTGTATTTCAAGCAGCTCCTCAAATTTCTCCCTGGACAACAGCAGATCATCTGCACAATTCTGGAGTGGTCCATCCCTAAATCACACCTGCAGAGGCTTCTCTTAGGTCCTGCTGAGTCTCCAGGGCAGATCTATGACAAAGGAAATTAAAACCCCACAGTCTGAGGGCAGCAGTTGATTCCTCACAGGGCAGTGCAGTCCAAGAGCTCAATCCCTTTTGTTTCTGGTTAACACAGAGGAAAGTGCTTCAAATTTATTAAATTTTTATCTTTTTGCTAACTAGGAGAAGGGATTGTTTCTTAGTAAAGCTCTGCTCCAGCATGTTGACCCTTCTCTTTTTAGGGTTCATGCATGATTTTGAGACTAGGTTGGTATCAAGTGACTTGAACTGCATAATCTAATCAGAAATTAATCTGTTTAATCCCTTCAGGTTGTTCCACTAATACTTTACACCCCATACAAATGAATTTGCTGCTTTCCATGACCTGGAGCTAGGATAAGAAGGAGTTTGGAGGCAGGAAATTGTCCCTTCACAAGGTCAACTTGCTAAAAGCAGTGATTAGAAGAACAAATTCTTTCTTGTCCCAAATCTATGATGTAATAAGGCAAGAAGTGAAATGTGTCATGGCCTGTTAGCCATGCTGCACATCAAGGCAGAAAAAGCTGGATGCAGAATTTGGCACAAAAGTATCTTTAACTCATTTATTTTGA